CTATGGATAGCATATTCGTAAGCAATATGAGCACTACAATGCACAAGCAGGATATGCATGAATGCACATCCTATACGTCCTTCCACTATTGCCAACATATAGGGCAACCGTTCTCAGATTTTTGACATATCGTTCTCTCCCTGTAGTTAGTCGATACTATCGTACTATGGTTGAGTCAGTGTACCTGCAGAAAAATTGATTAAACCTACCTAGGTCAGCAGAGTGCCATCTATCCTGAATACATAACTATAGTAATAGGGCTACTTATATAACTTCGCAGTTGAACGCCCTAGCTTTTGAAAAGAATTTGTTGTCAAATTTTATTTTAAAAAAGGTTTTTGAAGCTTTATTTCCTCATTTATGCTCTGATACCACCTATGGCAGAACCGCCTCATCTAATGCCTCCTAGGAGTACTCGTCTTCCATTAGCCATTAAGTACCTAAGGGAGAACACTAAATTACTCGGTTCCATCGGGCACACCTCAGGGGAGAACCCGAAAATCCACATTTTTCCATCAGGATCACAAATGAGAGAATAAAGTTTACATCATTCTTAACCATTTCTTACATCACTTTTAATACAATATTATAGTATAATATTTATTATTATAACAGCGGAATGTAATCATATTATTAGAGTTATGAACAATTTAATGTAACAGCGGAATATAAATATGTGATCAGAATTTCAACAGAAATAATTATCTATTCATGGCATGATGAAGCATTGATATGTAAACTTATGAAAACATATTATAAAACTTTTATTTATAAAAACATTTAGTAAGAGTTATAAATAGAAACTATGATCGCAGCGTAAAGGAAATCCTCTCTGGGGCCACCAGGAGGAATCCACACACAAAGGTTAGCTCTAGCATCCACCTGTCGTCTGCAATAGGGGGAAATAAAACCCTGAGTACTCAGTTATACTCAGCAAGTCTTACCCGACAGGAGGAAAAAAGACTCCAAGGATATGTAAGGCTATCTGACTTGTGGGTTTATTGCATTTGCAGGAAGCATTACTAAGCGTACGTCCTTATATTCGATTTTTATTAACAGCCGCATTAGTTCATTAAAAACCATTCTATGTAAGCACCTGTGCTACTTTCAAGCAGGTGGTAAGAAATCAGATTTTCTTTTACCATCTTTCATCTCTCAGTTCTTACTACGGTGCTAGAGTTAAGACAAGTCGTACCGACACGGCGGTGATTCGTGAATCAATGTCCCCAGCTTGGTACCCCGAAAAACACATGCCCCGCTTGTACCCCGGGCACAAGCAGGACCAACCCACTACCCTCCTGTCATGGGGATCTAGGTCCCCATCCAAACTGGAATTCTAAGCCCCCACCCCTGAGTCCCGGACTCAGTGCGGTGCAAGGACCTCCTAACCCAAAAACCACCATGACAGTCGGTCCGAAAAGCTCCAGAACCCATGATAAGAGAGTAACAAGTCTTCCAAGCGCCCATACACAAGTATGTGCTCGGAATAATAAATCTATGACTTGCCTAGCGTCCAATGCAACGGTCGGTCCTTAATCGACACAGACAGGGAAAACAGTGTAACCAAGCTATGCCTCATTGTCCGCAGGACAGAACCTCTTACACCCACCAATATCCAAACCATATCCCTGCCCGATCACCACTTTTTCTTTCCACCATTTATATTTTTCAAGTGATCATAATACAGTAATATATTTCATATCTCTCGCGAGTGACAGGCAATCACTCGACTTCTACCGGAGTCCTATAGCATAGCAATCTACATGATCCTACCATACTAGTAAGACTCATGGGATAAAGATATATATATGCAAGTGGGTTTCAATCAACTCATTAAAACTTAATGCACAAATATAATTTAAAGTGCAGAAAAGTAGGGGTTATGCACCGGGGCTTGCTTGGGTAAGATATAATCAGCAGTTAGCTTTCCATCATGGTGACATGGCGACACGATCTCCAAAAGCACCATTTCTCCAACAACTCCCGATGACTCCGCGATCCATCGATGTTTCTATTATGATATGCAATGCGATGTAATACAAAGACATAATTAATCAACTATAATCGTGACTCGTAAAATACGATTTACACCTTTCAAGTTAACGAGCTAGTTCAAACGATGATCGTACTTAGGCTACATATCCATGTTGTCGAATAAGACGTTATTTTCCAATAATTATTTTAGTTATATAAACCCAAACGGTTTCTTTATTCTATTCTATCCATTTAATCTTTATTCGAAATAAGACATCATTATCTATCTAGCAAACTAATTATTCTGGAGCTACAAAAATTACTGTGAGCAGCTAATAATATTAGTAATTTACTGTAAAATTTTTAGAGTTAACACTATCACCAATTTATCACAACAATTCCTACAAGTTTATATTTTTACAATATTAAGTATCTCAAATTAATTATATAGCTTCCAAGAATATTATCAAACTATATGAACAAAATATACTAGCAGATAGATCATGATTTTAGCAGACTAACAAAATTAGTTTCATAATTTTTGGACAACTACACAAATTTATTTTAATTTTACAAGTTTATTCCCGAAACTAAATTAGCAATCGCTTTAGAAACTAAAGGGCCAGCAGCCATCAAATCGGCCCAGCGGTCCACAGGCATGCGCACTGCCCAACATGGCGCGGCGGTGGCCAAGCAGCGCGGCGCGGCCCACAGGCGTGCGCGCGGCCTACCGACCAGGCACGGCCCAGCGGCACATGACCGGCCCAGACAGGGCGCGCGGCCCATAGAGGAGGCCGGCAGCCCAAGCGGACAGCGAGCACGACCCAACCAGCCAACCCAACTGGGCAAGGCCAGCGTGCGTTGATGGTTTTGCAAAAATGTCCCCAAGTTTCTATCTATTTAGTATGCTACCATTTCTACTATTCATTCGAGTCACAGTCTTTACATCTAGACCCTCAAAAAATCTCATATTTACATATTTATGTCCTCACCTCCTCCAAAGCAGAGCCCGGACAGGGGAGCACTGACCGGCGGTCAATCCCGACCGGGGAGGGCACGGCGGTGCGAAGGACCGGCTGCGGGGGTGTGCAGAACTGACCCACGTCCAAGGGTGCCCACAGCACGGGACGAGGTGGCCCACAGCTGTAGGGCGACATGCGGTGGTGCCGCGGCACTACGAGCGAGCGGCTCTACGGTGGGGGGCATACCAGCGATGAGGTGCTGGTGCGGGGGCGGGCCAGGACCCACGCGGACCCAAAGGAGCGCGCAGCCACGCCGGGGACAGCTCGCCAAAGACTGGCCACGGGCGCCCGCGATTGCCGCAACGACGGGGCCGGGGAAGGAGCACGAGAGAGCGGCTCTGAGGGGAGCGATGGCCGGCGAGGGTCGACGGAGAGGCGTGCGAGGCCCGTGCGAGCTCATGACGACGGCGCACAGCCAGCGCGGCCATGGCGACTTCGGCGTGCCACGACGCTGGCCGGGCGGCCCCAGGCGACGCGGGTGTGAGGCACGGCGCGGCGGCGCGTGGCCACAGCGGGCGCTGTGGTTGGGAGGCGCAGCGGTCCAAAGTGGACCGGGGACTCACGCGCGGGGAAGCTGCAGGTCCAGCGCGGCCTAGGGGCACGGGCGCGCTCGAGCGTGGTGGCCAGGCGATGGCGGCGTAGAGGAGGCTCAAGGCGAGGCTAAGCTGCGCGTGGCCATCCTACGGTGATGGTGGACCTCCTCGGCGACCCGGTGGTAGGGGACGTGCCGGTGCGCGGGCGAACAGAGGGAGCCACGGCGGGCCTTGGTTAGGGGGAGAAGAGCGGCTACGTGGGGGAAAACGCAGCGCGAGGGCACGGTGGGCGTTGCGGAGCTATGCTCTGGTGGTAAAGCTCCGGCTGCTGGACTAGTAGAAAGAAAAAGGGAAGCAGAGTCAGACAGAGGCAGCAAAGACAAGACAGAGACGTGGGAACTCGATGACTTGGAGCTTTGCTTGCCAGCCAGGCAGACAGCAGAGGCAGGCAAGGACAAGAGGCGACAGAGGCATTCATGGCTGCAGAGATGATGCGATGGAGCGGACAACGACCACGAGCACGTGGCCAGGTTGGCGAATAGCAAAAGACTTGGCGCGAGGCATTGGATCGTAGCAGCGTGTCCGAGCAGGGTCACCGACGTCGGCTAGTCAATAATTAAACCACGACAGACACCTAAACACATGGGCATCGCGTGGCTCTGCTGGCTGCGGCAGGATATGTAAAATGAGCGGCTACGAACACGCAACAACAATTGTTTTTTAAAACCCAAGTTGCACTTTCATCTACTCGACTTATACTTTAATTTTTATTAAAACTTCAAACACACGTTCTATATTTTAGTTACTTTATAAAAATCACTTTTCAAATTGACTATTATTTATCGACACAAACTACGAACGGGTTTTTCATTTTCGTTCCTTTTCAAACTAGTTTTGAAACTAACAAACATTACAGCAATACTCGAAACAAACATACTAACACACTCATGAAGTTCTTACCTTGCTGATAGCATAAGTTTTACTTTCAACAAATTTTGTTTATAAAAAATATTTTTCATGCTTAATCAAATAACAAGCCATTCGCCCTTTTATTTTCTATCAGACATTTTTAAACATAAGTCAAAATTTTAAAATCCGAGAAAATCGTTTCGGTAAATCCTCTTATGTCTAAATCTCGGTGCTAAGCAAGCTCGTAACACCAGCGGTGTTACAATCAGAAAAATATGCATGCATCCATCATAAGGACTTCGGATCGTCACTACTACTGAATCCCAAATTTTTCTAACATAGTCCATTTTGACGAACCATGGGTTTATTATTTCAGCACACAAGTGATACATTATCTGCAGTTGTTAACATATTGCTACTATCATATGTAGGATCGTCCTGATGCTAAGGGCCTATATGGCACCAAATTCCCTTACTATGGTACATTATCTGCAATATACAGAAATGAAATGATATAGCCACTGGTGAAGGTGCCAAAGATATCAGTGAGGCTATTGGCAACATGGAAGAAGAGCTTGCTGCTGAACATGGTAATCAGCATTGCGAAGAAGAGGATAGGATGTCCAGAGAAACCCCTAGATGGTCCGTTGGCTCGGCATCATCTAGCTGTAAGAGGAGGAAGCGGCAAGAAGGGAAGAGCAAGGATAGTGGAACAAGTGATTCTTTTCTGGACATGTTACATGAAGTCCAAGGTGATCTAAAGGGTGTGTCCAGTAATGTTGGAAAAATGGCAGAAGCACTGGACCGTAAGGTTGCAATTCAAGAGAAGGCGATGAATGAAAATCCACAACAGATGTTAAGGGAGAAGGCTGTAGCAGAGTTGCGTAAGCTGGGGTTTACTGGGATAGAACAAATCAAAGATGCTACTGTATTTGTGAAATCGCCAGATCAAATGAATATGCTGCTAACCCTTGACCAGTCTTTGTGGAGGGAGCTCATTCTAAATATGCTTAACGGTACGATTGTTAGCCAACACTCTTTACAAACCAAGCATATTATGTACTGTTGTCAATATGAGCTATGCACAAAATCTGTAGTGCTGTTTTTCTGATGCACATATATATACTCTGTACCATCTTCAACACTCCTGCTATCTTTCTAAAATCATTTTTTTGTAGAGGAGGAGACAAGGAAGCGGATAGGAGGAAGATAAGATGTTTGCATATTCATTCAAGAGTTGATGGTGGAAAAATGATGTTGATAGTGCTTGCTGTTGGAGGTGGAAAAGGAATGTTGACAGTGTCTTTGCATTTGCATATGCATTGAAGACTAGAAGCTAGAAGATGTTGTCTTTCATTTTACCCTTTGTCGGTTTTATTTATATATGATTGGATATCGGCCTTGCTCTAGTGCTATACTTGTTGGTTTGCAATATGGTTTAACTCCTCTATAATTAAAATGGTTAAACTCCTCCATAAGTAGTCATTTTACTATCATGGAAATGGCCTTTTCATTTGGCCAACGTAAATTTTCTTTGATGATCTTGCCATGTTCTTGTCAGAATATATTATATTAATATATTTGTGTAGCTTGACATTAATTAATTTACTCAATTGAATGGCCTGTTAGATTAGCTATCAGCCCAGTATTCAAATTTGGAGTAATACCAGAGCATCAAACCAAACACAGTTCATGTTACCGGCGACAGAACTAAACACAATAACGATATCCAATACCTTTACTACACGCTACCAAACGAATCAAGGGACCAACGATCCCCCCTCAAGTCCTCCCGTGATTTGTTTACATTACCGTTCACGTTACCATCGACAGAACTAAACAGCTTGATTGTGTCATGTGCAACGGGCCACTGGAGTCGGGTCTCCATCTCAGTCTACTGTGCCCTCTGGCCAAACAAGTTTGGGACCTTGTGCTAACCTGGGAACACTTTGATGTCAATCTAATTAGGCCACAGACCCAGCCAACTGAAATCAGCTCTTGGTGGGTGAAAGCGGCTGCAAAATTCCAAGACAAAGGCGGCAACACTTCAATAGGGTGGTCATATACATAATCTGGAACATATAGAAAGAAAGAAATAGAAGGATCTTTGATAATAGTTCTTTGGATGCAAACCAGGTGGCCTACAGGACAAAGGAGGACATTGAGCTGCGATCAAGGGCGCTAAACAATTTCGCTTAGTTGAGTGTGATGTTGGATTGTGTGCCCTTAGGGGCCTAGGCTTACAAGCCTGTTATATATAAACTCTCTTTTCCATCTTAATTGAGAGACGGAGCTTCTACCAGTTTTTCAAAAAAAACTTTTGCAATAATTTGTCTGATTCTTTTGGTTACAAGAGACGGAGCTGGATTGATTCCTTTATTTTAAAAAATTGTCAAAAAAATGAAGCAGTACATACCGAAATCCCCATGTCATAAAGTGTGATTATCTCGCTAAACGGCAAAACTATGAAACAAATTTGTTGAGGATTGCAAAAGGAGAAAGGTGAAGTTCGACAGTTGCATCAACTCCACTTAAAGCAAAAAGGCTGGTGTGCTTTTTTTATTTGTACCAATCGTGAAAGCGCAGCTGCTGTTTCTGTTGCTGGAGCTTGCTATACGAAATGGCCAAGTTTGAGTATAGTAAACCACTAGATACGTTACATATATCGCCACCACCATTACAAAATGTTACTAAACCGTCTGGAGCATGAGAAGGTCTACCGGCCTCATGTCAGATGACCCAGAATGTCGACATTGTGGCAACACATTACACATGCCAAAAGTCTTCAGTATGACTGTTCCCCAAGACGTAGAGTTGTTAAAGTATCCGGGTTGCTGTACTCTCTTTGTCATAGTTTATTTGTTAGGTTGAAGACATCGAGTAGAGCCGCTAATTCCGGTACGGTGGTATGGCGGCTTCGACCAAACCCGTGTCAAACGGTCATCCATAAAATGTCTTCGTCAAAAAAAAAAATTGAAACTATAACAAAACTGCAATAAGAACCATTTTTACTTAATGTTTTTTTTCTTCAAAACAGCCTGAGCTCTACTAAAGGACCTGCTTCACAAGAAGAGCTAGAGTCAAAACCCATAAGGAGACGAAGGCGTACCAAGCTGGCCCTTAGTCCTTTTTCAGTCCTGGATTATTGTCAAATACTCCGTACTAGTGTAGTACAACGTCGCAGTTCCTGAGCTATCTGATCATTTAGCGTAAAGTGGATCGCTCCACGTAACGTAACAATCTGACTCGTAATCTGTATGCAGGTGCGTAATAAGGAAGGACCACGGGAAAACGTTAAAGCAAGCAGGCGGCGGGCAACCGAACCGTCGGAACTCAGAAGCGCCTCGCCGAGCTGCGCCTGACAGCCCATGGTCTGTAAAATTGACGTCGTGGTCGCCGCAGCATCATCCTTCGTTGTTGCGCTGCTTTCCAAACGATCCTTGCTTGTCCGCGTGCGCTGAAACATAGCTATCGTAGACGTAGCACGGTGAGTCGATCGGGGAGCCCGGCCGGCTTTCCCGTCTCGTAACCCCTGGATTTACGCGGCGAGCCACGGGTACAAAACCCTTGCGCCCTGTCAAAAAACAGAGCACGAGCGCATGTGCCCGTGCTGCCCAGTGCCAGCCTCCGCGCGCCGCGCCACTGTGCCGAGCTAGCTGCAGGCGAAAGCGATGGCCAAGCTCGCCGTCGCGGCCGCGCTCTACGCCCTCCTCCTGGCGGTCTCACTGCCGCCCGTTCTCGTCACGGCGGAGTGCGACTGCTCGGACGACGCCGCCGCGGGCCGCGACAAGGCGGGGGCGCTGCGGCTGAAGGTCGTCGCCATCTTCTGCATCCTCGCGGGGGGCGCGGCCGGCGCGGCGGTGCCGTCGCTGGGGCACAGCAGGTTCCCCGCGCTGCGGCCGGACACGGACCTGTTCCTCGCCGTCAAGGCCTTCGCGGGCGGCGTCATCCTCGCCACGGGGCTGGTGCACATCCTGCCCGCGGCTTTCGACGCGCTGGGCTCGCCGTGCCTCGTCGCCGGGCCGTGGAACAGGTTCCCGTTCGCCGGGATGGTCGCCATGCTCGCCGCGATCGCCACGCTCATGGTGGACACGGTCGCCACGGGGTACTTCCGCCGGACGACGGTCGCTAGGAAGGCCGCCGCGGCGGTCGTCGACGATCCATCGGAGCTCGGGCATTGCGACGGCGGGGACCCGGAGGCGGAGGCCTCCGACTCCGGCGGGCACCACGGGCACGTGCACGGGATGTCCGTGCTCGCACCCGCGCCGACTACCGTCGACGACGAGCTCGTGCGCCACCGCGTCATCTCTCAGGTATACGGGATGGCCAGCCACATGCATGCACGTTCCACGATGCAAGCTCGCAGTGATGAATGTCCACTGGTTTTAATTTTGAGGTGTTGTCGTGGATTCGATCAGGTGCTGGAGCTGGGCGTGGTGGTGCACTCGCTGATCATCGGGATGTCCCTGGGCGCCTCCGATTTCCCCAGCACGGTGCGGCCGCTCGTCCCGGCGTTGACGTTCCACCAGCTCTTCGAGGGCATCGGCCTTGGCGGGTGCATCGTCCAGGTGAGCACGCTGTTGTTTTCCGATTTGGACTGGTTTAGGAGTGGTCAACCAGGGTCTTTTGTCCGCAAAACAACTGCACCATCAATTGCGAAGGTGGAGTCGTTGGCTTTAGCACTCAGCAGAATCTACCAATCCTCCAAGGAAAACGTCGCCGCGTCTAATTCTTCTACGGAGTACTATATAAAAAGGATTGTCTCCGTCCTCCATGTGAAGAAAATTCCCTCCCACATCTGAATTTTTTTCCTTTTTTTTTCCTTTCTTCTTCCTATAAATAGCATGCATGGAAGAGAATAAACTAAATTTTGGTGAAAATATTGTCTTCCACATCCTGATTTTAGTTCATGTCGACTTATACAGAATTTATATTTGATTTGTACTAAAGTTACAGTAATTATTTTGTGCAATTTCTAGGTAGAATTTGTGTAACTAAAAATTCGAGTGTGGAGAAGAAATATCTTAACCCATTCTTACCTCATCTTTAATGTGGATGTGGAACTCTTCCAAGACACCAGAATTTTTTTTTATAACATGCTCGCAAAAATGCAGATGTAGCAGAGGCCTTTTTCACACGCATACAATGTAGCAAAACTCATGTACAAAGTAGTTGTGTTTCATATTTTGGATCATGCAAGATCCACATTAATGTATCTTGTGAACGTCTCATAATTTGTCCTTTTTCATTTTGTTATAATAGCCTTTTGTGGACTCTTGAGGGCTAAAGGTTATAAAAAGTTGTTGACAGTAGTGACTGGGCCGGTACCCCTCGGATAGCCTCATATCTGGGCCTAGGCTAAATATCGAGTCAGCCCATGTAAAAATGGCACTTGTTGTTTTTGTCTTTTGATTGAATTTTGAATCTGGATGCTACCCATAGAGCTAAAAACAACTACTGTGAATGTGTGATTCCTAAAATAAAACAATGTTTAACTAGTGTGATGACTTTTCTCAAAAAAAAAACTAGTGTGATGACAAAGATTTTTCTCTTTCGTCACAGGCCAAGTTTCGCCTCAGGTCAATGGTAGCGATGGCACTCTTCTTCTCGCTGACGACCCCGATCGGCATCGGCATCGGCATCGGGATATCGTCCGCGTACGACGAGACGAGCCCGACGGCCTGGTCGTGCAGGGCTTCCTCGAGGCCGCGGCCGCGGGGATCCTGGTGTACATGGCGCTCGTCGACATCCTCGCCGAGGACTTCATGAGCGCCCGGGTGCAGAGCAGAGCGCGCCTGCAGGTTGTGCTGAACACCTCGCTGCTGCTCGGAGCTGGCTTGATGTCCATGCTCGCCATCTGGGCTTGACCACAACAACGTAAGCTGAAGCGCAGGGAGTGGATTGTAGTTTCGTTTAGGTTCATGTTCCAATGGGTCAGGCGTTTTTCAAATCAAATGTATAAAAGAGGGGTAAAATTTATGCAAGTTCTTAGGTGCCGACTGCCGTCAAGTAACCACCCAGCCGTCGAATCCTACTAATCGTAATTCGCAAGTCTGATAAACCATTTCGAAACATGGCATAGGCGTATATTTAGCCACGGTGGACGTTGAGGATAGTATAGTGCTCATATCCATTGTCGAAACAATCTCAGCCCATGCAACCTTTTGCTAGGCATGCTCTGCCGCTCGAATTCATTTGACGATGGTCAGGCCCACAGCCCACTTGGCCACTCGCTTGGTCATCAGCACACTTAGCTCAGGTCCAACTGAAGTAGCACCTACGTGGCGCTTCTCTGGAAGCGGAGCAAATGTCACGAGGCGGCTGCTCCATGCTAGCAACCACTAGAGCCGCTGAGACAGTGAGACGAATATATGGAGCAATTACAATTTGGTACAAAAAAGGACTTAAATATTAATTTTAATATTCACCATTGCAAGATAATCTCAAATGCTGTAATTGAGTGTACCATTACGAAGAGCTTGTTGAGATAATTAAGATAGATATGTTGTTTGTTTAATTTGAAAGGAAAAGTCATAAAGTTTTGGAATTAAAAAAAATAGTGCCAAAAGTCAGCACATCCATGTACTGTGCATCACGCTTGCCAAAACCGAAAAGTCAACACAGCAGGCTCAGCAAGCCTGCGACGTTCGAGCGTGAGCAGTGGTAGCAGCAGCCCAGCGGGCCCACCGGCGGCAGATGCACAAACGCACTCCACCAGCCAGGAGCCCAGAACGACGCTGGCTGCAAGCGTGCCACCAGACTGCCGGTTCACCGGTTTGATAAAATTAAAAAAAAAACTTTACCAATTACCAGTCTGATTGCATGGATGGTCTTTAAAGCGAACCAGATCGATGTAGTTTAGTCCTAATAACGCAATGGCTAAGGCCTCTATCTGCAGAGTGCAGATTGCAACACCGAGGACAACCAACTACAGGCCCTCCTAGAGCACGACCTCCAAGCTTGAGGATAGCGTTGTTCATCCTCCTCCAAACCTTAGTGCCTTTTCCTTCACGCTACTTCCTCTGCTAATGCCTTCACGAGATCGATCAAGATAAGGTTTACAAAGAGTACATGCACCAATTAGCAGTTTAGCTGTTGCACGTATTTAAGTATTTTTTTACATATAAGTTGGCGTGAACCAATCTACACTCATCTGTTAAGTTGTTGTATGGTGAGTACAATCTATTCTAGAAAATAAAACTTTTTTTTTGGGGGGGGATGTCTATTTTGTACCTGGATGAAAAAAGGTCTCTTCTACACCTGAATTTTAGGAACATGTTATGAGAAAGAAAAACGGATATTTTAGAGGAGTTCCACATTAAGATCAGAGGTGTTGTAAGAATCAGGTGAAACATTCCTCATCCGCACCAAACTTTCTAGTTGCACGAATAATACTTAGAATTAAATACTAAAATAATTACCGTAACTCTAGTACATGTACAATTCGAGTTTAAATCAAACATGAGTCTATATATTAACTAAAGTTAAGGTGCGAGAGAGATTTGTTTCATCAGAATTTAGTTTTATTTCTTTCGATGCATGCTACTCCCTCCCTTTGTTCCTCCGGTCCAAATTTTAAGTTATTTTGTCTTTTCTAAACATATATCTAGATGCGTAGTCAAAGCTATTGTATCTAAAAAAAGTCATAACGATTTATAATTTGAAACGAAGAAGAAGTATTTAGGAAGGAAAAAGGAAAAACAGAAAGAAAAAAATTGAGCGTGGAGAAGAAGATTTTCATCAGTCTTGATATAGCAAAACGGTAGTTTTATAGCAGATACGGAGTTGTTGATACTAACTTGGGAAAAATACTGTAGGTGATATATACTGTAGTTCCATAAAATCGCCGCGGAGATACGATCCGGGCGGAACCGTACGCGCACATGCGATCTTCCATGTTTGTCGCAGCGTACGCTTACTATCTCCAACGGAACACACCCAAACCAGAGACGCATTTCGTGATTTAGGTCGCACACAGCAAATGAGTCCCTCACCCGCAACCTCTCTTCTCCAACAGCTACGCAAAAATCATCCCCTGCTCCCTCTCCTCGGCGGTGAAGACGGAGACAGAGAGATCCGGCGTCGAGGCGGGGCTTGCCCTGGCGCGGCCGGCGCGGAGGCAGAGGCAGATCTGCCGGCCCGTCTTCTTCTCCTCAACCGGCGCCCCATCCTCTTCCCCGTCGAGATCTGGCGCCCTTCTCTTCTCCTCCACCGGCCATCCTCTTGCGTCCCCAAACACACGAGGGGTAGGCGTGCAGTGGCCCGCGCGGCGGGGAAGATGCGCGCTCGCCTGGGCGTGGCCTGCGGCGAGGAGGATGTGCGCTCGCCTGGGTATGGCCCGCGCCGGCGAAGAGGCTTTCTCACCCGTGCCTCCGTGCGTGGCCCGCGCCAGCGAGGAGGTCCGTGGTGTGGAAGCGTGCTCACCGATCTGGATCTGGAGGTGAGCAGCGCGAGAGGGCAGCGTCGGCGGCTCCCTTTCCTCCTCCTCCTCCACTCTTCCTGCTTCCCTCTCCCTGCCCGCGTCGCCGTAGTCCGAGCCCGCCACCGAGTCGCCCGGCGCCCTCCACCGCGCTGGAGATTTGGGTCGTGTGTCGGGAGGACGCTTATTTGCCTTCCCTCTCTTCTCCGATGCAAAATGCGTAGTCCAATTGCCTGCTCCGTTGGAGAAAGATTTTTCACTGTAGACCATATATTTTGGGTTTAAGTCGTGAAATACGTAGCCCGTTGGAGACAGTCTTGCACCGAGGAAATCGCCTCGCCGCCGTACGAGATTTGCCCTGCAGGCTGCAGCCGCTCGTGGCGCAGGCGCGGGCAGGTGGCCACGGGAGATTCCCTCGGATTTGGGGCCCCGGACGATCCGAACGAGGAAGGAAGGAACGGCACGCCCGCCTGAGCCGCGCTCGCTGGCGCCGGGTTGGCTGCTGGCTTGGAACTGGAGAAACCGCGGCGCGGAGACACGACAGAGGCAGCCAGCCATCCAGCTGCACGTCGGCACGGCGACGGGCCGACGCCCGACGGCCCTTCGTCGTCGTCGGCCTGCCGTAGTGCTGAGCTGAGCCGCTGCTGATGCACGCGGCACGCCGGAGCTGTCAGGCTTTTACGACGAAACAAAATAAAAGCCGATGAGGCGGTGACGCATGCGCCAGTGTCGTGTCCGTATACCGTACGTATATACGGATAAGATAGTAGTGCATGCTTTGGAGTACTACTGCCGTATGGAGCCAAGTTGCGCCGCTGGGGCGCCAGTGTGCGCCGGTTGTTGCTCGAGATTCCTCCTCTTCTCTTCTGAAAGAAGAAAGAAAGAAGCTCAACTCGCAACTTGGGCAAGCAGGCCAAATCTGAAGCCTTGGCAGTTGGCATTCGCGCGAAGCAGGCGTGTCGATCTCATCCGGGTGGTGCAAACTGCAAAGCGCACGCCCCCAACTTGGCACGCCGAGTTGCATACGCGATGGCGCAAGCAAACTTGTCAAGGAAAAGAAACGGACGACGACGAAGCAAATCGAATCGGGGGAGGGAGGACGCAGCGCAGCAGCAGTCCTTGACCAGACGGGGTCGGCGAATGATGGCCCCGGTTGCATCAACTTGGCCAAGTAGCCGCTTAGAGTACATTTTTTCGCGCCATGTCGCGAGCTTTCTGTTTTGTTTAGGCCAACTGCATGCCCAAGTGTGCTAATTTGTTTCAAAAAACCGAACTTGGCAGACCACACTGCCCTGCAAGCTGCAGGCTTTTACTATTTTTATTATTAGGTCATGTACATAGATAGTACTGCCAGCATGGCATTATGCAGTCATTGCCTGAGAATTGAATATATGTATTTTGTTTATTTTGAAACGCCCAATTCCAACTGCAATACATATACTACTAGTACTGTATATGATCAATAACCAATGCTAGTAAAGACCACAGAGAAAAGCGTATGTATGTTTATGATGCATCATCTAGCTAACTAGCTCGAGTACCAATTTGTGCAGGTAAAGAAAGTAAGAAACCGCTCCATCGCTCGATCGTCGGTGCCTTGGTGACATGGAGCATTGGAGCTAGCTGCGTACGGGAGACAGTAGAATGTGGAAACTAAAGTAGAATGTGGGAACTAAAGGTTTATTTAGGGTTACTCACTAATGTCAAAATACTTCATCACTAGGGATTTGAGTTTCATTGGTAAAGTTCATGCCCTAAGAATACAAGTTAATGGTTGAAAGCACAATAAAAGTGCAATAGCTGTGAGCACATTCCTGCCTTGCACATTCCAAATGGAGCTTCTCCTATAGTCCTATAGATGCCATACCAAATGGCCTATGAGAAAATGGTTTCTTCTTGTGGGTCCCGTGCAGCCCCACATGATTGAGAAATATAAGTGACCCTCGAATAAGCCGTGGCTGAAAATACTGTTGGCTGATTTGTTGTGAGAGAAAAATACTGTTCGTTGGCTGAAAAAGTACGGCTTATAAGTCAAACGAACAGGGCGTAAAATTGCATCAAAACGCTACATACCTGTATTGATTCAGCAGCAAACCCGGATGGGCGTCTTTGTTCATTTCATCAAAATGGCTTCCTTGTAAACTTTGCTCTGCTAAAAAAAACCAATTAATTATCAATTAATCTCAACTTTCTTATGTTTAGTCTTAGTTCATTTCAAATAATCATGCATATTACTACCTAACGTCAAACACATAAATTGCATGTATAAACAAATATAAATCGCATGTATAAACAAGTCAGAATAGACAAAGATACTATGGACATTTGGCATTTTACATTTCATCGTAATAGAAAAACATGAAAAAACCACCTTGGCAAGTGCTTTTGTATATGGTTTCAACCCCACCGAAAAAGCCACTTCTCTGAACGAGCCAGATTCTGAGTTGTTTCTAGAGAAGCCGAAGCCGTGCCAAATAAAACTAAGGACGGAGAATCAATGCAATGTCAAAAGGCATCGTTCGGCTGGTTGAAAAACCAGCCGGAATTTACTGTTTATAGCTGAAAATCACTGTTTACGCTCTCATAAATTTCTCCAGATTCATCAAATTCCCCAGCGAACATGGCCCAAGTAGCTAGCTGGTGTTCGTGAGTGTACGTAGCTTCTCCCACAGCAACATCACCACCACCATGAATGGCGCCAGCAGCTTAAGCATGGCCAACAACAACTGGCTGCAGGAACAAAGGCGAGCAGGGTGGTACGTCCGCACGTACTACGTGCGTGTGGATTCCCATATCGGCCAGGGTGTTGTGCTAGTTAATGGCGACATGTACTACGCGCGCGTCCGCCCCAGAAGGCCAGAAACATGGCTGGCACCAGGTCAAGCTCCACGGCCTTGTTTAGGTTGAGCTTACAAATCAGTATTTGAAACTGTAGTACTTTCGTTTGTATTTAACAATTATTGTTCAATTATGGTCTAACTATATTCAAAAGATTCGTCTCGTAATTTACAATTAAATTATGTAATTAGTTATTTTTTTATCTATATTTAATACTTCATGTATGTATCCAAAAATTTAATATGACAAAAAGAGAATGAAAAACTTACAATCTAAACGAGGCGTACCCGCGACCCGCCCCCTCGTCGCTCCAAGCTCTGGTGCGCACCGGTGTGTGTCAGGACTCGGGACTCTGGACAGGCCATCGCGTGTGAAATCCTCCGGCACCGGCAGGGAATCCTATGGGAGGGAATCCTATGGGCTTGTTTAGATTAGGATTAGAAATCAGTATTTGGTATTGTAGCATTTTCATTTGTATTTGATAATTATTGTCCAATTATAGTCTAACTAGGCTCAAAAGATTCATCTCGTAATTTATAATTAAACTGTGTAATTAGTTATTTTTTTATCTACATTTAATACTCCATAAATATATCTAAAGATTTAATGTGATGAAGAGAGAGTAAAAAAACTTGCAATCTAAAACAGGCTTAGGGCTCGCGCTCCCAAATTCCTAGTACGGAACTGCAAATTTTTATTACAATCACATCGCGAACAAGTTGTTCCAGGTAGCCAACTGGGTCGCTTGCTGCCTGCGTGCGACCTGCGACGCCAATGTATTTTACCGGGGATCTTGCGTTGGCATTTTAGCTCATCAGCCATCAGCCAGACTCGTGGGATGAAATTCTTATGCATTGTTTTTCAAAATATAAAAATTAGGACATGAAATTGGCATTGAGACCGGTCTAATAGCGGTTGTGAGGCGAGCAAGCACTACTGATCTAGATTTTTTCTCTAGACAATTTAATTTGTATCCATGGTTTGGCTGCACATGATTTAAGCCGCACCGGGATACGTTCCACTTAGGAAAAGATTAATTCAGTGCATGGAATCACATATACAACAAGGGTTAGATGTTACTCTCTCATTTTTAATATATATATATGGTTTTTACAAAAACAGATTAAAATGAACTAATTTGTTTGTTCTTATAGTCAATGTTGCATCGTGTAATTCTAAAAAAGATTTTGAAACAGAGCGGGTAAGAAGCAGTTTTGTGGTTGCTCCCACCTATCAACTACCATGCAACACATACAAAACTAAGTGCTTGTTTGGTAAAAAAAATATATAATGGTCCTTAGTCACTAGGAATGCTCCCCCCATCATCCATCAAGTAGGTGTTCAGAGCTCCATGTGCATCTGTTCTGTACAACTTGTTCCAGACTGATCTCATGAATTGACCACCTACCGGTTTGTCCTCGGATTTCCATAAATTTCTCTGCAGAAATTGGTGCTAAAATCGCAGGAACACACACAACACGAATTTGCATCCGTAACACCATTCCTCAAGTAGTGATGGTTTACCTATGCCAAGAGGGAGCTACTAACTAGACATCTAAATGAAGGGTTGTTGTACATGTATGTGAATAAGGGTTAATATCAGGCAACACCCATACAATAATTTGTACTTTGTGCCGCAAAAAAAAAGAAAGAAAATAGAAACACAAGTTAAATCATCCTAGAGCCACGAGTTCATGGATCGATCGATCTCCCCTGAAAGGGCAAAAGAACAGGACCAAGTCAAGAAACAAGGTGCCCGCCGCCGGCGCCAGGCGCCAGCCTGCAGCTGCCAGGGCTCTAGGCGAGGGCCAGTGCGAGGCGCTCGGCGGTGCGCGCCAGCGACTGGAGGTTGCAGCGCACGATGGTGTCGACGAACACGCGCGTCTCGTCCGCGGTGTTGCCGGGGGGCACATCCACCACGTACGACTCCACGACGACGGTGCCGGCGCCGGCGCCTGCCTCGGCCTCGTGCACGGTGGTGACCGACCGGTAGTTGGCGAGGCGGTGCTCGCCGCCGACGACGCGGAAGCTGAGCACGTGGCGCTCGTCGTCGAGGATCTCGAGCCGCTCGCGGCTGCTGGTGGCGGGGAGGCCCGAGACGACCCGCACCTCGCGCACCGACCCCACGGCCACGGCGCCTCCGGCGTCGCCGTCCACGAGGCGGCAGCTCCGGATGAAGTGCTTGTACGCCTGCGGGCGGTCGAAGCGGCGCACCACGGACCAGACGGCCCCGACGGGCGCCGCGATCGCCTGCACCACCGCCGAGCAGCACTGCCCCGCGCGCGCCGCGTGCTCGTGGTGCCGCGCCACCTCCGCCGGCACCGCCGCGCACGACGCCCCGTGCGACGCCGCCGCTAGCGCCGCCTTCGCCCCGCAGCCGCCGGTCACACGGCTGTGCTGCTGCGGCGACGGCCTCGGAGCTGTGTACGGCATTGCTGCTGCTTGCTTTGCTTTGCTTTGCTCCTCTGCCTAGGATAGGCAATATAAACGACTAGGAGGCTAGGAGCAGGGACACGAGATTTTAACGTGGAAAACCCTTCTAACGAAGAAGTGAAAAAAACCACGGACACGGCCAGTAAATCTTCATTATATCGGGTGAGGTTATAAATATCGGGGATTTATAATTTTTCTTATTCCAAGACTGTGGCTTACATAAAGTATATATAGAAATGAAAGCCTCCCGCACCTCCCGAGGCGCGCGTAGGGAAACATGATGGGCTAACTTCAGCCTCCGCTTCGCTTCGGCTAAGCCTCCAAGCGACGGGCCTCACTTCGTTCTGGTAGAAGTTAGTCTTTATCTTATACATAACTGAATTTGGATCAGAACTCAACGTACCCCACGTCCCCACCTCAGGGCTCAAGGTTCTTTGGTTAGGCTGCTTACTGTGGCCTCGCTCGCAAGTTGCAGGGACTAGTTTAGGGTCACTTGGGAGAGTTGTTGTCTCGGCGACAGTTTTCTGAGTAGAAAGATGGCGGTTTGGCTTCCGAGGGCATTCCAATGGGTGGGCATGGCAGGAAAGGAGAGCTGGCCGGACGGATTAGGGAGGTGGTTGGGGCAAGGGGGCAGCAGAGGCACAGGCCAGTTGGTCAAATTAGAATTGGAGGAAAGCGACGCGCATGCCCATTGGCGACGGCGAGGGAATAAAGAAGGTCGCGGGGAGATCGATTTATTTGTTGTTAAGGTTGGTTGATCTTGTTTAATGAGCCAACTTGTGGGAGGCAGGAGGGAGGCAGATGTATGTAACAATCAATCACGCGGATTGTCATTTGTACGCGCCAACCAAAAGGCCAGACAGAGTCTCTGTGAAAAAAGATCCATGGCACGCACATGAGGGAGGGGGTGATGATAAAAAGTTGGCTGGCGGTGTATCTAGAATGCCAGACTTGGTATGGTTGGATAGGAAGATTGTTTGTTTGGTCAGTCCGGCCGGCCGGCCGGCCGCTTGTAGCTCGGCAGCGACGGTAATACTCGTCGTTTTTGGCAGAGCTGGTGCTGGTGTGGTGGTTCAGCGCCGCGTGAATGATCCATGATCCGTCCGTGCGGTTGCGTTCGTCGCGGCTCCCGTGTCCAGCAAGGACATCGCTCCAGCTTTTAGACCGTCTCATCCAAAATACAATATTTATTCGTCTTTTAAGTAGCGCTACAAGCGAAAGATTCAATACCTATTTTTTTTTCTTCTCCAACGACACGATTTAAAAGATAACTCTTTCTGTAAATGAGTTTTTAGGAGAGAGAATACTCAGATTTAGGTTATGCCTCTTTTATATCTAAAATAAATTTTTCATATAGATACTCTGTTAAAACCTGTAGATATCCTCTGAAGATTAATTTTGAGTTTGGGTATTCTAATAGATCTGGTATCGGAGACAGCCTTACTGATGCTTCGGTGGGCAAATACATCTGCCTGGCTGGACTGCAACCGACCACCTTTTGCATCGTGCTGTCGTAAGTACGGTAGCTCGTTGAGATTGGGAGAAGCTGCGTGCGGGGGCGTCCGGCTGCGGCCACGGGCCGTCGAGAACGCCAAGACGTTCCATCTGATGAGCTGATCCGGCCTTGTTTAGATGATGGTTGGGAATCAGTATTTGATACTGTAGCATTTTTGTTTGTATTTGATAATTATTGTTTAATCATGATCTAATTAGGCTTAAAAGATTTGTCTCGTAATTTACAATCAAACTATATAATTAGTTATTTTTTTATTTATATTTAATACTCTATGCATGTGTCTAAAGATTTGATGTGACGGAGAGAGAGTGAAAAAACTTGGAATCTAAACGAGGCCCTACTACGGAGTATTTGCCCGCTTCAAAACGTCAGAACGCACGGGCCCCCCGGGGTTGCTTGGATCTCGTCAGTTCCGTACTACTCCAATCCCACTTGGTATTGGTCTGGATTAGGGGCGTGTTTGGTTCGTCACCGCACTTAATGGCTAGCAAATCGGTCGCCACAGTCACGGCGGAAATATTGAATTGCAAAGACCGTGGCTGCCTAACTTCACTAACCAAACATTTGTGTGATAGCCTTGGATGTGGCCTGACATGCGATGGCTGGGAACCAAACACGTTGTAGGATTAGTGCAAAATTTGTTCTCCTTAGAATTAACTAGTCCACCGTGAGATGGTAATCTTTTAAGAGGAATAAAAAGTGCTACAAATTCATGTATAAACTTACAGAACTTATAGCACATGGCTGATAAAAAATGCAATTACTTGTATTTGATCTTTCTAATTTTTGTTGATATTCTGATGCAGTATTCATAGAGATACTCTGTTATTTGTCCAGTTTAAGCTTTAGTTATTGATCACTCTATACTTTTCCATCGGCATTCATAACTTTTTCCTTTTGCGTTGTAACTTAATGTGCGTTTGAATATGTTTAGTTGAAATCTTAACTTAGCGTATGTGCTAAATGGATATGATCATTGCTTCTTGCATGCATGTAGACATGGCGGAATGTTGCCACACATCATGCACGTAGACGTGGCGGGAGAAGATCATGTACAAAATGGGTTAAAAGAAGTCAGCCTGTTCGTTTGGCTGGGCTGGTTCATTGCTGGTTTGTGAAAAAATACTGCTGACTAGTTTGTGTGAGAGAAAAAATACTGTATTCTACCTAAAAATTTAGGATTGTTTCACCCCAGCCGAACAGGCTTGAGTAAACATGGAGTCAGAAATATCGAGATCACACGGACTGTTTGCTTGGCGAACTAATAAATAAATCAACTCACCTTTTGTCTTTCTGCCATTTTTCTTTCTAAAAAAGTTGCGTCAGATCAAAACATTTCCGAGGCAGATACAGAGCATGCTTACAACTAAAAGCGCACATCAGCCTGAAACATTTGGTGCAAATACAATGCTCCCTGCTAAAACAATGATATCTTGTCGACGCAACAATGCTACATTATTACCTCAGACAATAATCGGTTGGGAATACTGTGTTCGGCTGGCATTTTTTCCTAGCTGGTTGGCTTTTTTTTTTCAGCCGGAGCATTGTTTTTCTTTCACAACGTTCTAGTGTAAACAATATTTTCCAGCGTGAACAGTAAAAATCAGTCCAGCCGAACACTCCCAAGTTAAAAAGCATTGTGCGCAAATGGTTTTGTTATACTAATAGTGATAACACACTGGGCAATTCTTTTTTGAGACTTGCTCCGGTGGTGGTCCTAGAGTATTTTGCACGAATCTTAAAGCAGAAATATTTAATTAATTTAATCGGTCCTTGGTATTACTTGGGTCCAGCCCTATCCGTGCTTGTAGCAAGTCCGGCCCAACCCACACCCACGCCGATATTCAACCCGATCGACTGGGGCTGAGAGCTGGCTGGGTTGGGTTGGCTGGCCAGCCCCTCACATGGATATTATTTATATGAATCAGCTAGCAGTATTTTTCTCTCACATAAACGAACCAAAAACGAAACGAACCAGAGACTTATTTTCACATCGGTGGATCTCATTTCAGTAGCGTTCAGCTCTGGTAGTAGCGCGCATGGCAGCGGCGTACGGACGGGCGGCGGGCCGGCGGCACCACCCAGCGGCCACCGTCCGTCCGCGCCCAGGCCCCGGCACGGTCATGGCAGTCATGAGCGACGCCTTCCGAGAAGAACAAAAGGCTGTCGATTCGATCCCACCGAGGGGCGTGGGCTGCTGGCTGCCAATGGCTCCCTGTGCCCACACCACTGCGGGTCAGCCTGCGATGCCTCTCTGCTCGGGCGACGTCGGGGGTACCGGGACACGCTCGACGCCATCTCGCGGGGCATCGTCGCGGTCCTCGATCGTCACCTATTTCGCCGCTCGGCGCGGAGGGGACTGTGCAGCCGGCTTCTTCTCCCTTTTTGTGTTCTTGTTGCTCCAAAAATATATCACACCTGAACAGCGAAGGCGACTTCAACGGGGGTTGTCGCACGGCGGAGGCAGGATCGGTCAATAGGAGCCACCGCTGCCCGCTGGTGCCGTCTGTTTGCGCGATAAGAGCAAGATGCAAACAAAAAAATGCGAACCGTCAACTGACGATCCACAGTTACCTGATTGACGTCATGTTCGCTTCCCAAGTCATACTTTTTCAGCTAATAAATAATATTTTTCTCTCATAATAAATTAGTTAACAGTACTTTTAGCCATGACTTATCAGTCAGATGGACAGAGCCGCATACCCATTACAAAATTTATTACAATTAATTAACTGGTTGCTTTAAGATACGTGCAAAATACTCTGAGAGGACCATCGGAGCAAAACTCTTTTTAAAAAAAATTGGGGATAGTGATATCATCACAAGGATTATATATATTAATTAATTTCTTAGTCGTAGCTAGTTGAAAGTTTAGACATGATCTTCGCGATGATATTTCCTAGTAGACCTAGCCATCATAGGATCTGCAGGTTGATGGGGTCGCTGCCTAGGTGCGTGATGCCATCACGTCCTGTAATTCTGTTCCAATGGAAGAGCTCGGTAACGCATCCATGGATAAACACAGGGACATTGACGTGCATGCTCTGAGAGGCTTAACTGTTCTCTCCCTAATAAATCATACTAGTAAAGATTTTTTTTTTTTGTAAATTACATAGTCCAAAATAGAGGTTCAGACTCAAAAAAAAAACATAGAGGTTCACAACTATCGACGAAATATGATCGGCAGTCTACCGAGGGGTATGTCCACGGTAGTAGATGAATCGGTAGATGTGCGCGTAATAGAAAGCGGATGGTGACAGAGACACCGATTTAGATAGGTTCGGGCCGTCTAATCGACGTAATACCCTACGTCATGTATCTTTGGTGTATTGTATTGTATATGAGATGAATTCGATGGAGTCCCTACCCGTTTTATATAGTCTAGGGTAGGGTTACAAGTCGGTTTAGGCCTAAATCTATTTAGCTATATGGTAAGTATTTACAAGGAATACGATATCTATCTGTCGGGGACCTAATACCGGGG